GACGCCCCGGAGCGGGGGGGGGAGCTGGGGGGGAGAGGACGACGGTCCCGACGCCCCGGAACGGGGGAGGGGTGGGGGGGTGGGGAAGGCTCCCGCGTGCACTCCCCTCTCTGACCAGCGGGGGCAGCAGCTCGGCTCTGGGCACAGACCGCGCGGGACGAGCGGAGCCCAAGGCTGACCCGGGGCGACGTCAGGCGGCCTTCGCTTCCGCTTTGGCAACTTTCCTGGCAGCTGGACGTCATCTCTGAAAACAAAGGTCTGAGGAACGAGGAGACCCTACGCAGCGGCAGGACGCGACCTCCAAGATGTGCCGCGTGAGAAAAGGGGGGCTGCCGTCTGGAGAGGAGGGCGCAGCGCTCCCCTGGGGGCGTCCCCTCTGAAAGGCGCTGCTCCTCGAGGCGATCGGGGGCCGGGCAGGTGGCTCCGGACTGAAACGGATCTGGGAGGACATGTGCCATTCTTCCTGTGTTGCTTTTTTGTGAACTCTGAAATCACAGTTGCAGCCTCCAGGGAGCCCTCCCGCGTGCCAGGCTCCCGACGGCCGCCGGGCTGGAGGACGAGGCTCTGGGGGTTCACACCTCTGGAGCTGGCGGTGACTGACAGGTGCCCCCCCCCGAACCAGGGGCTGGCAGGCACCTGAATGAGCTTGAAAATCATGCGGAGTATTCTTTGCCTCCTCAAAGAGGTACGGTTGCCCCACTTTTGTTCAAAGAGCTGCTGCAGTTGAATCCAGCCCCCCAAACTCACATCCGCCTGAGCCACAGAATCAGGCTTCCTTAGAAATGGGTTCTTTGCCGATGAGATTAGTTAAGAGGAAGTCATGTGGGGGGGAAACATCGGCTGACGGTGTCCTTCTAGGAAGACGGCGCACAGACCTGAGACCCACGGAGGGAAGAAGGCTGATGGGGACACAGGCAGGGGCGGGAGGGGCTGGGGCTGGGTCTCCCCACGGCCTCACAAGGAACCGGCCGGCACCTTGATGTGGGGCGCCTGGCCTCCCGGCTGAGAGAGAATAAACCCTGTTACTTCATGCCCCTGATGTACTTTGCCACTGAAGCCCGAGAACACCAGTGGCAGCTCGTGCCCCTGGGGAGTGGGCAGGGGAGGGGCTGTGAGGCCGGCCCCGCAGCGGGCACGGGTGCACCTGCTCCAGCACAGGCCCGCGCCGCCACCCTGAGACTTCAATGCTAGAGCCGGGGCGGATGTTGAGAAATACCCCCAGTCTAGAAGATGATGCAGGTACCGGCTGCAAGACCGTGGCCTCGGGCAGAGGCCCGGGCGACGGCGGGGGGCAGGGGTCTTGGGTGCGCAGGGCTCACCCCAGGACCCCACACAGGCGTGGCTGGAAAGGCTCACAGCCCCTGAGGCGCCCACAGGTACAGGCACCAGCTTGTCCTGCTGGGCTCCGCGTCCTGCCCCACCCCCCCAGGTGCCCCCAGCCCCCCCAGGTGCCCCCCAGCCGCCCCAGGTCTCCGGGTCCTGCCCCGCCCCCACCCAGCACACCCCGCCCCCAGCCCAGCCCAGGGAGCACGTGTGGGAGGTGCAATGACACCCTCTCCCAGCAGACCTGTCATCCTGGGCAGACGCGGGAGCTGTGCGTGGGTCCATGGCGCCGAGGATAAATCCAGCTCCCTCCCTCAGGTGTTGACCTGCCCTTCTGTCCCCACTCACCCACCCTCTCTGTTCTTGCTCCAGGGCCTTTGCACTGGCAGCTCCCGCTGCCTGGAGCACACCCGCTAGGCTCTATCCGAAACTAACTTCCTCACCCATGTAGGTGCCAACCGTGTGCCCCCTGTGGGAACGAGGGCGGGGGTGTTTGTTGTGCCCACTGTGTGCCTGCAGTGCCTACCACAGTGCGGAGGACACAGTAGGTGCTCAATAAATGCGCATTGGTGGTGTGCACAGATGAATGAGCCTCCCCTTGCTCTGTGCTGGGAGCAAACCACAGGACAGGCCTCCTGTGCAGAGGCGGGCTGGGGCCCCGCCGCAGTGACTCAGGCGGAGCACCTGGGCCGGGCCCGCCCACCTTTGAAGAAGACGATCTTGTGGTCGCTGGTGCGCTCGAACACGGCGTCCACGCTGTCCAGGTGCAGCGGCAGGCCCCGCCAGAAGCGGTGCATCTGCGCCGGCTGCAGAGACACCAGGTGCCCGTCCCGGGTCAGCCGCCAGAAGTACCTGCCTGGGGCGACAGAGCGAGGGCGGGGCTGCAGGGGGCGGGGCCGCAGGGGCGGGGCCGCAGGGGGCGGGGCTGCCCCCCCCCCCCCCCCCCCCCCCCCCCCCCCCCCCCCAGCCCGCTGCCCTTCCATCCAGTAGCCACTTACTGAACTGGGTGAGGGTTACCTTTGAAGAAAAAGGCCTCGCCACGGATCTGGGCCACGGCGTCAAAGTCAGTGCTGCACCGGAGAGGCACATCCTTCCTGGGTCTGGGGGCAGAGAGAACAGGGGCAGGGCTGGAGGGGGCAGGGGGGCGGGGGGGAGGGGAAGGGACGGTGGGGTGCTGGAGGAGAGAGCTGCGACGGCTGGGGGAGAGGGGGACTGGAGGCAGAGAACTGGGGGAGCTGGGGGGAACCCCCACTCCTGAACCACGGGGGAGGCGGGGCTTCACAAACCCCAGACGGAGCCCCGATGAAGGACTCCCCCCATCACTGCCCGCAGGCTCAGAGACACATGGTTGTACCAGAAGAGAAGAGAACTTAAACGAAAACGAGGCCCTTCTCCAAGGTCAACTATACATCAAGTCATAAACACAAATCAAAGACCGAGCCTTTCTGCGTTGCTGTGCAGAGTGGGTGACCCAGGGCATGGAGCGAGCGGACATCAGACAGGTGCTCTCGGTCACTGGGTGCCAGTGGGGGACAAAGGGCGAGGGGGTGTCCTTCCGCTGTCCAGAGGAGTGTAAGGGACCATCTCTCAGGGCTTAGCCCCCAGGGCCTGCGTCGCTCAGCAGGACCCGGAGCCAGGCCCTGAGCCGTGGCTGGGGGAGGTGCTGGCCACAGCGTGCAGGGCAGGGGCCCGCGGCTTACTGGGTGCTGGACCGGTTGCTGGGGGGCTCTGGTGGGAGGGGAGGCTCCTCGGGTTCTGGGGTGTCCGGCTGTGCCGTGGGGGACACGGACTCCCGTACGCCTGTGGGGACAGGAGGCAGCACTGAACTCGGCAGGCCCCCCGCCACCGGCAGATGCCACCGCCCTTCCTGGGACCCCCAACACAGAGTCGTGGGCCCTGCGTGTGCACCGGAGCCCCAGAATTGCAGTCCAGGGGGGAGACACGGGGTCCCTGCGACCCCTCCTTAGCCTCCAGGAGCTGAATGTCGCCCCCTGCCCTGCCCTCCTCGTGGGCACAGTCCCCAGAGAACCAGGAGCAGGCGTGCAAACCTAAGGTCATCTGGATGTGCACAGCAGCCCGCGGCGGAATCAACGCACACACCCACCCACATGAGGGGACAACTGGAATTGTTCGGCCATAAAGAGGAAGGAAGCGCTGACCCAGGGCGCAGACAGGGCGCTCGGCGAGAGCAGCTGGGCACGACAGGGCCCACGGCGTGCGGTCCCAGTTGCACGAACTGTCCACAAGGGGTGCACCCGTGGATGTGGATGGGGAGGTCAGTGGCTGCCAGGTGGTGGGGGGCGGGTGGTGACTGCTGATGGCAGTGGGGTCTCCTTCGGTGGGGTGGGGACGAGTGTTCTGGAGCCACGCGGAAGTGGCAGATACACAACCCTGCAGGCGTGGTCAATGCCACCAGCCTGTACTCGTCAAAAGGGTTAACATGGTAGATTTCGCTCTAGTAGGAAAGAGTCAGTTCCAGAGGGCGGCAGACACCAGGGAGCTCACAGTGGAGGAGGGGGCTTAGGGGAGGTGGAAAGTATGCTGGTGCTGTGGGGGGCAGCCTGGGATCATGGAGGACAGCCTGGGGTCGTGGGGTGCACCTAGGGGTGATGGGGTGCAGCCTGGGCTCATGGGGGCCCCTGGGAGGCAGCTTGGGGTTTTGGAGGGGCACCTGAGAGTCATGGAGGGCAGCCTGGGGTCATGGAGGGCAACCTGGGCTCATGGGAGTCCTTGGGGTCATGGAGGGGCAACTGGGGGTCACAGGGGGCAGCCTGGGCTTGTGGGAGGGCTGATTGGGGTCATGGGGGGCAGCCTGGGGGTCACAGGGGGCAGCCTGGGGTCATGTGAGGGTAGCCTGGGGGTCATGGGGGGCAGCCTGGGGTTGTGAGGGGGCACCTGGGGTCGGCACAGCGACATGGGAGCCACAGGGATGTCATCACCACGTGCGCCCCAGGTCCATGCCTGCCCCGGGGCAGGGCCTCCTTCTGTGCAAGCCCCTGATGTGTCCCCAGCACAGCAGGTCCCCGAGCTCTGGGTTCAGTCCGGGCTCTGTTGGCCGCCAGGGACCATGCTGCCTCAGCCTTCTCATCTCTAAGTGGGGACAGCAGATCTGCCCTCCTGGGTGGTAAAGACTGAACGCCTTAACACACATTCGTGCTTCACACAGGCCGAAGGCACCGTCCGTGCCAGCTGTCACAACCTGAAACTATCTGGGGGCCTGGACGGGGATCTTGCCCTGGGCTCTGAGGCTCTGTCCAAAGGCCTGCGACCCCTGCAACACACCACCCATTTGTTTACTCGCCCCCGTTATGGAGCAGCTCAGGTGTGCCACGCAGGTCTGGATGCTGGGCACATGGAGATGAACAGACAGACCCCTCCCGTGGGGTTCTGGGGCCCCCTCGTTTCTGCCCCATCCCCGGGGTGACCTGGGCCTGGCTCTGGGGAGGACTCACCATACAGCTGCCAGATGCGCACCCTGTCGTCGTAGGGGAGCCTGTAGTGCAGCGGGTCGCCCACTGGGCCCTGGTAGTACGGCTGCATGATGGAGCTCGGGGCCGCCACGTGGCTCAGCCCAATGGCGTGGCCAAATTCGTGGACAGCCACGGCAAACAGGTCCATATCGTGGGCATCTGGGGACACGGGGAGCCAGGGCATCAGGGGAGAGGTGGGCAGGCTGACCGGACGGATGAGCTAGGGCGCACAGGCTGGGCACCCACAGGGAGGGGTGTGAGGTGACGGGTGTCTCCATCACACTGGAGGGGATGTGCAGTCACTGGCAAGGACCCGAGGGGCCCCGAGTGTGAGGGGCCCCTGGGACTCGGCCTTAGCCCCGCGTACCTGAGGAGCGGAAGGCCCAGGACTCGTCGTCATCGAAGTGGGCATCCCCCGCGGACAGCTGGTCACCAGGGAAGAAGGCGTGGGCCACCGTGCCGCCCGGGCCGTCGAAGGGGTAGGCGTCGTTGTGGTCAGCCTTGGAGAAGTCGATCTGGATGTCCGCGGCACTGCCCGCCACCTCATGGAAGTTGAGGGGCGTGATGTCGCTCCAGACTTTGAGGGCGTAGTGCATGAGCGCGCGCACGGTGTCCCGGCCCAGGGGCGAGTCCCGCGGGAACGTGCGGACCCTAGGACGGGCGGGGTCAGAGCCTGGGGTCTGCTCACCCGGCCAAGTGTCCCCTCCCCGGGCTCCAGCGTGGTCCAGCCTCGGCCCCCAGGGCTACCCGCCCAGGATCTTATCTGCATACAGGGATTTGCAGGTGCAGTTAAGGCAAAGGTTGAGATGAGGCCTCCTGGATGGGGTGAGGTGTGCTTGGGTGAGACAGGCAGGCAGGGAGGTGGCCACGTGGTGGCGGGGAGGGGGGCGAGGCTGGGACCACAGCGCCAGCACAGGAGCAGGGAGGTGTGTGGGGGGGTCCCCTCCCCTGCCGCCGAGCTTCAGAAGCAGCCAGCCCTGCGACCCTTGGGCTCCAGGGCTGAGAACCACCTCCCCGTCACGCTGGGCCTGGCCCGTGGGTGCGTGGGCAGCCCCCGGGGACTAAGACCAGAAGAGTCCACGAAGCCCGCCCACCTCCACGACAGGCTCCTCTTGGTCCACGTGGTAGGAGTCAGAGCCTGGCGCCTCCTCCGAGCGGGGGCTGCAGCCGGGAGGTCGGGGAGGGAACACCGAGGAGTCTTCATCAGCGCCAGGGTGGCCTCGTCTGCAGGGAAGGGTCAGGGTGGGGTCCCCTAGAGGCGGCACCAGGCACAGGCTGCATCCCCTGCCCCCCGGACCAGGTGTGGCGGGGACCAGGCCTCACCACCAGGGGCCAGGGGTACGTCCAAGACCAGCAGAGGGCTCTGTTCAGGGCAAGCAGGGACTATGGCACGGAGGGGGCCCCGGCCAGGCAGCACCGCTCGGCCCCCATCCATCCAGAATCGCCAATCCCTCCGGCCGTTCGCAGGACACGCCCGACCAGCTCCGGTGTCCACCTCTGCAGAGGCCCGGGGACGGCATCTGTGATGCGTCAGCCCGCAACAGGCCCTTCACAAAGCTGGGGTGTGCTGCCAGCGTATCCCAAGTGGGGCGCTCACATAAGCACCCCAGATCTCCGGTTCCCGTGGAGGCCGGCGGCTTTGGCAGCACAGATCTGTCACTTGCACAGGACGAGATTCAGCTGGGACCGTGGACGGGCACTTGGCCTCCATGTGTGGGCACAGCGGACACACATGTCTGGGGCGGGTATGCCAACGGTGCCCCGCGTGGCAGGAATCCTTGGTCCTGCCCCGGGGACAGCGGTGGGGGGGCAGCCCATCCCCACCCCCACCCCCACAGGGGGCCCCAGAGCAGGTGGAGTTGGGGGAAACCAGGCTCCCGGAGCAGCCGCCTCCCGCCGCCTCTACAGGACTGACCTAAGATGCCGGTGGTCTCCAGGCCCCCAAACCGCTGCATGGCGGCGATGGCCTTGGCCAGCTCCTCCTGCGTCTGCAGCTGGCCTGTTGTGGGGTCAGCTGGGGGCAGGTAGCCGAATCGGCTCAGCCACTCCTGAGAGAAGAGAGCAGGGTGAGTGGGGGGGGGGGCGCTCAGCCCCACAAGAAGAGGCGATGAGTAGGCCTCTCCCAGCCCTGATCAACAGCACCCTAGCCCCAGGCCCCCAATCATCCACAAGGCACCTCATGTCCCTTCCCCTAGTTACTTGTGGGCCGATGCTGGAGAAGCACCTGAATGAACGTGATGCCCCTTAGCAGGGGGTGAGCTGGAGCAGTGCACAGCCTGCCTGGCTGCACACAGCAGCCTCCCCACCTCACTTCTCCCGAGCCAGGAGGTGCCCAGGGCACACTTAAGAAAGTGAAATTCTACAAAGGTTATCACATGCAGCAAGTGCCAAATTTAGGCCGCCGGGAGGCAGGCATCTAGGGCCTGAGGTCTGAAGCCCGCACTGAGAAGAGTGATAGCTTCAGACTGGTGTCAGGACTCGGGTCAGGAGCTGCACATTCGCAGTGGCTAAGAGCCCAGACTTTGAGGCCACTGGCTGTGCCTTTGACACAAGTCACTCAAGCCCTCTGGGCCGATCCCCCACCTATGGATGTGAGCATAGAATGAGTCAGAACACGGAAGAGGCTCATGTCCGCACCTGACACGGGTGCTCCCTGAAGCATGCGTGGCATCAGGGGACGGCTCTGCTGGAAAGTGCCCTGTGTGGGCAGGTTCCCCGAGCCAAACGGGGCAGGAAGAAGGTGGTCCTTCAGTATGGACACAAATACAGCCTCCTTCTCATGCCCGTCACCCTTACCATCTGTGCGGGGCCCCGGGAGACAGGGGGGCGCTGATGCCCTCCTGTGGGGGAGCCCCCCTTGGGTTTCAGTTTCTTGAAGAACCACCATATGGTGCTCATGCCCATTTCCTAGGCCGTGAGACAATCCCATGATAGCGCCTGGGCCATGTGGACACGAGGGGGGGGGGCAGGGGGACAGGAGACCCACCAGTGGGTAGAAGGCAAGGTCAGGGATTCCCCAAGCCCCACCCTTCCCCCGCCGTGGCTCCAAAGAAGGTACCAACGTGCAGATCTGTTTGCGTTTTGGTGGATATTTAAGAAACTCTTTTGACTCATTTATGCTACCTGCAGGCCCCTCGGAAGCTTCTAGGGTCCATAACCCTGGCCAGTAGGGTCCCTGCCAGAACGTGTGCCCCCACAGGGGCCTAGCAGGTGCTCAGTGGGAGGGGGTCTGCCCTCCTGAGGTTCCCAGGGGCTTCAGTTGACCAGAAGCTGCCACCTTGAGGATTTGCATATGATTTGCATACACCTGCAGACAGGTTAGATTCCTCCCTTTCCAGGAAACAGGGTCCTCCCCTCCCCACCCCAAACTTTTACTGGCCCAGACCCCCTAGTCCTGACTGGAGACCCCCAAGAGTGTGCAAGACTGGGGCCCCACTGGGGTGGTCGGACAGGGCTGAGTAGCACCAGAAGTGACTTGGTTCTCAATGGACAGCGGTCAAGACACCCTCCCAAGTGGACGCGCCTCATTAGAGGACGTCTTCTCCCCGGGGGCCCGAGGAGCGGCGCCCTCTGCTCGGGTGAGAAGGCCTTGGCTGGGACAGGCCCACCTCCCCACCCCCTTCCGGCTCGTCTCCACCTCCGGAGGAAATGGGCCAATTTCCAAACAGCCCGGCCTCCTTCCCCGGGGCGGCTCCACCTTCTGGAGCCGGGTGGTTAGCACGGGCCGGCAGCGAGCCGCACGCTGCCCCCCCACTATGGAGCTCGGGGCTTAAGCCTGAGCCGGCCCCTCCCTGCGCGCCCCCCCCGCCCCCCCCCCGCGCCGTCGTCACGGCGACCGCGTCTCCAGGGCAACCAGGCTGCAGCGGCGGAGGTGAACCTTCCAGAAGGTGGTGGGGAGGAGAGGGGAAGAGCAGGGGCCCCCAACCCTGCAGCTGCCACCTCGCCGCAGAGTCCCCAACAGCCAAGGAGACGCACCTTTCCTCCTCACAGGGACCCCTGGGCTGGGCCATTACCGCGGGCAGGGAAACTGAGGCCGGAGCCGTGGTGCCCCCGTGCGAGGCACTGGGAGGACGTGGGGTCTATCCGGCTGGCCCTTCCAGCCTCTCCGCGGCTGCCTGTCCCCGCGCGCTCATCACGGACGATGCCACGTGCCTGCGTTTTCTCCGCTGACAGGTCCGTTCCCCTCCCAGCTCTCAGATTCCTGGGGATCCAGCCCTGGCCCCAGCGGCCCCAGCAGGTGGGAGCCCCCAGCAGGTGAGAGCCCCCAGCAGGTGTGAGCTCCCAGCAGGTGTGTGCGCCCAGCAGGTGAGAGCCCCCAGCAGGTGTGTGCCCCCAGCAGGTTAGAGCCCCCAGCAGGTGGGAGGGCCCAGCAGGTGAGAGCCCCCAGCAGGTGAGAGTCCCCAGCAGGTGGGAGGGCCCAGCAGGTGGGAGCCCCCAGCAGGTGGGAGCCCCCAGCAGGTGTGTGCCCCCAGCAGGTGAGAGCCCCCAGCAGGTGTGAGCCCCCAGCGGTGGGAGGGCCTAGCAGGTGAGAGCCCCCAGCAGGTGGGTGCCTGACCCATGGACCCTTCACCTGCACAGTCAATCCGGGACTGGACGGCCCCCAGCCTGGGGGGGGCACAGAGAGCATGAGCCCCTTTGGACAGATGAGTAAACCGAGGCTCCGAGGCTGCAGAGGGGCCGTGGCAGAGCGTAGACAATCGCCCCTCGGCCACAGCGCGGTGGCTCAGGGGAAGTGGAAGCTGGCAGGCAATGGCTCCAGAGCACCCCCAGGACCCAGACACTGACAGTGAGTCGAGCAGAGCCCGGCTGTGCCAGGAGGTGGGGGCTCACTGCTCCCCGGCACCCAGGTGGGGGCAGTGTGGCCACCGTGTCCACTCAGGCTGAGGAAACCAGGGGCTCGGTCACACGTGAAGCCATCCCGGTCTGGCACCTGTCCCTGCTGCCACATGGACAGGAACGCGCCGGTGCTGGCCTTGCTCTGGGGGCTGACGACGGGCGGCTGGGGAGATCCCCGCACCCCAGTGTCTTCCCCGGGGGGACGCTCCCAGGTCCCTCTGGGACAGCCTGTCCGTCCACCTGACACACCCGGACTGAGCACTCACTGTGCCAGGCACTCTGGGGACAGTGGAGACCCAGGAGAGCCCGCCCTGCGGACGCGGCTCCAGAAGCGGACGGCGTTCTGGGGAAAAGCAACGATAAACAAGTGGACGCGGAAACAAGTGACTTCACTCATGACAGCAGTTGCCATACACGATCCCAACAGCTGACAATTACTGAGTACTTTTCCATTCACTAACCTGCTTCATGCTCACAACGTCCCTCAGGGCAATGCTCTGTGAGGACGGGGGGGCAGCGTGTGTGGGGTTCATGCTTGGCATACAGTAGCCACCACATTCAGTACCTGCTGAAGTAATCTCATGGATGAGCACCGCTGTCCCCACTTTACAGATGGGGACACAGAGAGAGGTTAGGACAGGCACCCACAGTCACACAGCCAGCATGGGGCAGGGCTGGGACTGGAGCCCAGAGCCTATGCCCATAACCTCTCTGCTATGAGGGGATGTGAGTGAAGGATGCAGGGGCTAATTAAATGGTTGTCAGAGAAGGTGTCCCTGGTGGGTGACAGTAGGCTGAGACCTGAAAGATGAGGAACTGGTCAGGTGTCAAGCCCTGTAAAAGTTCACGGAGGTGAGCGTAGCACATACAAAGGCCCTGGGGCAGGAAGCAGCCCTGGATGTTCCATAGAGAAACAGAGAAAGGCGTAGGGGAGGCAGGCACGCAGAAGCTGGCAGCCGGTCAGCACTCAAAGCTGACTCTGGGCAGGGGGTGGGGGGACCCAGGCTGTGAGCCCCGCCAGACCACTCTGTCACTCTGTCCCGTCCCTGCGGAGAGCCGATGGTGCCTGGGGGACCCCACAGGCTCTCAGCTTACGAGGGGCAGACCCACCACCCTCTGCGAGCGAAGCACAGACCCTGCGCCCAGACCATCGCGCTGGAAACTCATCACCAGCAAGAGGCAAAACCTACAGATGCTCAACGCACCCTTGGAAGGCACTGCGTCAGCGGCCCTGCCAAACCCCAGATCTTCTCCAGCCTTCTCTCTGCTGCTCCCTCCCCCCAGCCCGGGAAGGCAGCTGACTTCCTGGCAGCGCCCACCGGTGAGAGCGATCCAGAGGCCTCACCCAGTGAAGGTCCCACCGGCCTCGCTTCACAGACCGGAGACCGAGGCCTGCGGGCTGGGTCCAGACCCTGGCCTGCATCAAGGGCCCGCGTGAGAGGGAGACACATCCTAAGCCCACAGGCCAGCTGCTGGCGGTGTGGTCGGGGTCCACGCTCCCGGGGTCCACGCAGACCACAGGTGTCGGGCACAGCCCTGCCCATGCCACACCGGCTCCCATCACAGAAGAACACAAAGGTGTCTTTCAGACTGGCTGTCAGCCCCAGGGCAAGGGGTGCTCCACCCAGGGCAAGGGGTGCTCCACCCAGGGCAAGGGGTGCTCCAGGACCAGAGCTCCCTGTGGACAGCCTGCCTCAGGGCTGGGGGCCTGGGGTGCTGGGTGGAGCTTAGGACCTTCACTTACACCTAACCTCCCGCTGGGAGGGGCCCTGGAGTCTTCCCTCTGGAAGGCTCCACGCAAAATCACACAGGGGCTAACGGTTCCCTGGCTACCGCTGTTGGCGCTCTCTGTCCTGGTGGACGGTGGGCAGTGTCGGGCTGCAGCTGCACCGCGCCAGTCTGTGACATCAGTCCTGAGCACACGCAGGGCCCACCGGCTCCCTTGGGTGCTGGCACTGAGGGGCAGGGACCCAGAGGCCGAGGGTGACTGTCACCCCCACCATGATGTGCCCCCAGCCCGGGAGGAGGACACGGCTCACATCCACCGCTGCCATCATCCTGTCCCGTTATCCCCTGGGGCCTCGCGGGTCATGGGAGGGCCTTGCCTGCTCCTGGCCACCCTCACACACAATCTCAGCCGCAAACCGGTCACCTGCCTGTCAAAGACCACACGACCCCCAAGATGCTGTGTGGCTCGGGACAACGACCTGACGCCGGGGCAGAAACTGGAGACGGCCGGCCCCCCGCTCCAGGGCCTGGGTCCCACACACAGTCACGCTGCGCTCACCGGGAGGTTCTGGCACCACCGCTGGCTTAGCAACAGCATCAGCAACGGCCCGCACGTCCGTGCTCGGGGCCGGCTGGAGGCTGTGACGTCGGCGCGACCGAGCGAGCTGGGGTGAACACAGAGAACCGGGCAGATCCAGACGTGACAGTCCGGAACGTTCTCCAGGACGGGCTCCCAAGTGAAGACGGCCGGGCACGCAACAGTGCGCAGGAGGCTGTCATCCGTAAAAATAAGGGGCTCAGGTCCCCATGTTCTTTGGAGTGCCCAGGCGACTTCCAGAGGATTCTCGGGGGATGAGGGGAGGAGAGAAGGTGGACTTTCTCCCTCGGACCCTTCTGAGTGGCCTGGAAATCGTGCTGCGGATGGAAATACAATCACGGAAAGCTCGGCCGACCCCGAGAGCACAGGGCACTCTATTGTCCCGCTGTGCACGGCCTGAAAGCCCCCCGTCAGCTGGGCGCAGCGGGACTCAATGCAGTGCTCTGTCCTCACGCCAAAGCCGGGGGCGGGCCGGCCCGCCTCTCCCCGCGACCAGCCAAGGCTCAAGACCCGCGGGCCTCAACTCTGTCTCGCAGGAGCTGGGTCACGCTTACAAAGGGGCCCTTCTCCTCCCTGGCAGCCCCAGATCTGCAGATCCAGAGTGGGCGGCCCGGCGTCTACCGAGGGGGCGGGAAGGAGCCCCCTCCTCCCCATAAATCCTGTCTCCAAGACTTCCTGCATGTCTGGGTCTGCCGCTCTGAGGTGTCATTCCCCAGAAGGCCACCAGAGACCGCCCTCCACCCACAAACGGGGCAGGGGGCTGGCAGGCTGCTCAGGCAGCAGGCGGGTCTTGGCCTTCCCTGGGTGGGAGCCCTAAGGGTCAGGAGCAGAACCCCCTGCTCTTTACCCACTGGGCCGGATGCCAGGGCCCGGCTGTCTTTGGCGCTCCAGGCTAAGGAGCCACATCCCCCCCTTCACTGCATTCCACAGAGTTTGGCCCTGTGACTGCCCCCCCCCCCAGGGGGCGGGGATCTCGGGTACCCCGGCCGCGAGCAGAGGAGGTGCACAACCCGCTATCGCTGGGCAGGCAGAGAAAGACTTGGGAAGCCCCTGGGTCTGACAAACCGACTTGGCCGAGCCAGGACTCTCCTCCCATCCCCCGGTGGCCCACCTGACCCTCGTTAGCCTTCCGAGCAGGGTCTCTCTGAGCTGGAAAGGGGAAGCCTGCCTGGGTTCTACTGTGTTTCTGCCCAGACCTGGAGACACGCTGCCCCCCAGATCATGTGCCCCAGGAGGGGATCCAGGAAACCCCCAGCTACAGAGGAGCACCCCAATTTCATAGGCAGTTTGGCTGGGAGGGTCCCTCAGACATCTGGAGGCCGGCAGCCAGGACGGGTGGCTGAGCCGTCCCAGATGGCTGCCAGGCCTGGGGCAGCTGGGCGGGGGTGGCCCCCAGCCTGTTCCTCTGCCAGAGCCTGTGGCCAAGTCCTGCCAACTGTACGGAGCTGCGGGTGACTCCCGGCTCCCCCAGCGGAGAGCCTCCACCTGCCTGCCTGAAATCCACCTGCAGCTTTCAAGTGTCAACGGTGCTGGGAGAGGGACCCGGCCAGCACCCCTTTAGGGCACCCCTGTCTGCGCGGGTGGGCGGGGGCCATGTGCGGGGCCGGGAAGGGCGCGGCCCCCGACCGGACCCTCGCATCTTGGAGTGGGGCCGCAGCAGGGGCAGAAGCCACCAAATAAACAATACAACGGCCCTCGCGCCCTCGCCTGGCCTCTCCAATCTGGGGGCAACGAGACCCAGAAAGTGTGATCTCAAGCTTCCAGGTCCAGAGGAGTCTGAATAGGGGGAGGGTTGTGGGAGGAGGGCGCCGCCACCGCCCCCAGGACGGCTCCCAAGGCAGGGGGACAGCTGGCGTTCCTGGAGGGGGCGCTGGGGACCGCGTGGGGCTGCGTCCGAGCCGGGGAATGGGAGGGGAGCCCCATCAAGCCCAGACAGGGCCGAGGGGGAGGCAGAGCAAGGCTGGCCGCACGAGTGAAGCAGAGGCCAGGGTACAGGGCCAAGATCCACGTCCGGGGGGGGGCCTGGGGGCCGGTTCTCTAGCTCCCCAGCTCCCTACACGGAGCAAACTCGAGAACCACCGGCTTTCCCGGGCGCCCCCACTCCGCAGCCCCGACCTTTTCTCGGGGGTGGGTGCGCGCCTCCCCCTCCGCCGCTCCCACTGGGAACGCACGCGGGGCGCTCTGCTCCCCGCGGCTGCGACGGGCGTCCCACCCGCCTGGGGTCCCCCTCCGGGGCCGCTCCGAGCCGCGGACAAGAGCAGCCCCACCTCCGCTGCCGCCGCGGAGCCGGGAAGGCACCCGGCGCCTCTTTCCCAGACCCGGGTGCGCGCGCGTCAGCCGCCCAGCCTGTGCCCCGGCCTCAGCTTTCCGCCTAGGAAATGGGTCCAGGGCTCCCCGCGCTCCCGAAGCGACACGGGGCACTGTCGGGTCCCCTCGGGCCGCGGGACCCCGCGTGCCGGCCGCGCACTCACCACCCCCAGGCTGAGGTCCTCCGCTCGGGGCGCGGGCGCGGCACAGCCCCCGCGGGCCGCCAGCGCGAGCAGCAGCAGCGGCAGCGGCGGGAGCCGGGGCCGGGGGCGCGGCGGGCCGGGCCCGGGGGCGGCGCGGCGCTCCATGCCGCTGGCAGGGCGGTCTGCGCGGCAGCGGAGGTCCCCGCGCTCGCGCGCCCCTGCGTCGGCTCCCCGCGCCCCGCGCCGCCGCTCTGCGCCCCGCACCCCTGCGCCCGCGAGCCCCGCTCCGCCGCGCTCCGCCTCCCGGGGGCGGGGCATGCTAATGTATGCTAAGGACCTCCGGCCGCGCTCGCCCCGCCCACCGCCTTAAAGGCCCCGCGTCCTGCGCGGGTACTCGGACCCTGGCCGCACCCCACGCCTCGCGCGGCCGCGAGCACTGGGGCTGCGGCGCCCGAAAGGAAGGAGATTTGCGAGTGGCCCAGCCGTTCTCGGGGCGGCGGGGGTGCGCGGGCGAGCGCCAAGTGCGGTGGTCGGGACCGCGCCTCTCCCCTGGGGGCTGCCCCGGCTGGCCCCCCGCCTGCCCGCGCGCTCTGCGGACCCCCAGCCCGAGCCCGGATTCGTGGTCAGGGGGGCACCCCAAGCAGCCTCCGCAGCGCGCCCGGCGGACGCCTGGTGGAGCCCTTGAGACGCGAAGGGAAGGGCTGGGGGTGGGGGGGCTGTCGGAGCGCGAGTCTCCTGGGATCTGGGTGCAGGCGGGAGTCTGTGGGCCCAGGCCGGGGATGCTGACGTTGGGCGGAGGTCCGCGTGTGCTGGGCACCGGCTCGCCCGGCCTCCTCCGTAATCTCACTGGCTTCTCACAACGTCTTACGAGAGGGACACTATTATTCCCACTTCTCAAACGAGGAAACTGCGGCCCAGAGAAATTAGGGCCCCTGTGGGATCTTCGGTGAGGAGGGTGGGGTGGGGAGCTGCTGCGTTCAGATGCAAAGTCCCCCCCCCCCCTTGTTAGGTTTCTCATCCTGCCGGGTCTCCAACTCTTCCCAGCCATCTGGCAAGAGCTCCTGCTGTCAGAATTGAGGGCCCGTGCTATGGAAAGGGACACTGAGGCCCAGTCATTTCCGCTGGATCCACGGTACTGGCCTGGGGGGGAGTGGTGAGGGCTGGGTTCCAGGCAGAGCCCCCCTTCACCATCCTACTCCCCGCTGCGGCCTTGGTCATCGGTTCTCTCTTACTCTTTTAGAGCCTGTGTAGCCCCTCTGGAGCAAAGAGATTCTGCACCTGCTTCAGGAGACCTTTGTATTGGCAAACTGAGACCCCGGGCGGCGAGGCACCCTGGCACACAGTGACCTCTCAGAGGCACGTCCCCAAATTTTGCTCACGTGCATGGGGACACCCTGGTTGTCAGAGGCAGAAACCAGCTCAAACTGGTTCTAGTCAAGGAAAGGAGATTTAGAGGCTTGTTAGACTGGGACATCCCGGGCACACTGACGTCAGGCAAGGCTGGATCAAGCTGCACAGGGACTAGATCAGTACAGTTTCTCCCTCCATTGTTGTGCTGGCTTCATCCTCAGGCAAGATTTCTCCAAATGGCAGTAAAGATGGCGCAGAGCAGCTCCAGCCAACATCTGGGCAGCTTAGCAAGCCCAGCCACAGTCTCAAGCCACAGACCCACAGCCACCTTTTATTGGATGATGCAGATTATGTGTCTGTCCCTGAGCCAAACATGTGGCGGGGGGATGGAAATGAGCTGATCTGCCTGCACAGACTGTAGGAAGAAAGGGGTTTCTAAAGGAAATGGGAGTGATGAAGTCAGAGTAAGGGAGGTGGATGGCAGGCAGGGCTGGATCCAGGGGCTCGGATGGGTTGCCAGAGCAATCGACCCCCGTGTAAGAGTTCTTCCTGCACATGAGAGTTTGGAGCGGGATGCTGTGAGGGCACGAATCCCAGAAGATGGTGAAGAGAGGTGGCTGTGACGGTGGCCTCAGGAGCAAACATAAGCGTGGACAGGCTGTGGTTCTCCTGATACGTCCAGGTGGTGGCTGGTGACCAAGCATCCATGGTGCTTGGGGGAGGGGCGTGTCACTCCATGCTGGGGGACCACGGCGCCACTGCTGCTGCTTTCTCCTGGAGCCTGCCATTGAATCCTGGTGTTTGAGCGTGGTCGGAGTCCAAGCACCGAGCAGAGGCCACTTTTCGCCATCAGGTGGGCGATGTTGGAAACCTGATACCTCATCATGTGCTGAGGGTGTGGGAAGTGGGGATTTTGGTGCCACGGGGCGGGGGGGTGGGCAGCTAAGGCCGTCAGGGAGCAGCTACATTTTCCATGGCGGGCGTTGTTGGTCTGCCCCAGAAAAACACTCCTGTCTGCACGAGAAGACGGATGCAGGATGTACTCGTTTAACAGTAATCAGAAGCTGCCCGAATGTCCACGCGGGGCTGACCCGCCAGAGCAGGGTCACGTGCCCGCTGTGGCCCCCGACGCGGGTGAGGACACCGTCCACCCATCTGTGACCCCTGCAGGGTGGGGTGCTGTGTCCTGCTGGAGAACAGGCACCTCTTCTTTTTGTTTATTTATTTATTTATTTATTTATTTATTTATTTATTTAGAACAGGCACCTCTTCTAAGACCCACTGGGTGCCACGTAAGTGGGGGTGCTCTGGGCCAGTCATTTTGTGGAGTGGGAAAAAAATTGTGGGAGAAGAAAACAGAAATCAGGAAAACACCACAAAACTATATATTTACCTTTACCGCATGCACACACACAAACGTGTATATCTTTATCATCTTTCTGAGCCCTTGATCCAGCCACGCCTGCCACCCATCTCCGTTTTTCTGGTGTCAGCACCTCCAATTTCCTTTAGAAAATCCCCCTTTTTCCTTGTCAGCCCAGGGGTTTGTGACGCTGACGCCCACCGCCTGGGCCAGTCCCTCATTACCATCTCGCAGGGGCACCACTGGCTCAGGCCTGGCCACGCCACACGCATCCTGCAATGAGGGACGGCCTTGGGACCGTGGCTTGGGCTGGGCCGAGCTGGGAGGATGCTGCTTTCCTGTGTCATGTGTGCGTGCACGTGTAAAAGCAGAGGGAAAGTTCTGGGCGGTGATGACTTCGGGCGGCGGGCCGGAGCTCCGCCCGTGTTCCCTGGGTGCTCCCTTCGCCACCTGCACCTGCGGCTCCTCGTCCCGGGGCCTCAGGCGGCGGCATGTCCATCCCTGGGCAGCCCCGGCTCAGGACTAGTGGAGCGGAGGTGCTCCGGGCCCTTGGACGTGAGCTGCACCATCGGGGGACATCGGCTGCTCTTGCACCCCCTGCCCTTCCCATCCCAGCTGCCTGGGCAGGTTCTCCAGGGTGGGTTTCCTTGTCAGTCATTGTCACTGGGATCCGCTGCTTGGGATCTGCTCTAGGGACCCGGGTGAGGCCCGGGGGCCAAGGCCCTGTTTCTCAGCCTGCTTTACGTTCCTACCAGGAGCGGCTATTTCTGGTTTGCTTGTATAACTGAAAATCAATAAAAATGAGAAGAGAAGTGCACTATGTGTACTGGATGTAAAAGGCTGCTTACTCAAATAAAGTCCCTTCTCCAAGACAGGGGTCTGGAGGGAGGTGGTGGCCGGGCCCAGGACCCCCTGCCTTCACCCCAGCAGAGCGGTGAGTGCCTGAATCCCCACCCTCGTGGGGCTGGCGCCTAGGGTGGGGGACGAATCGCGAATCCCAAGTGTGGGACAGTGGCCCAGAGATACCCAGCCCTAACTCCTGGGATCAAAGACGTGTCCCCTTATGTGGCGAAAGGGGCTTTGCTGATGTGGTTGAGGTAAAGATCTTGGGACGGGACTGTGCTGGGTGGTCAGCGAGGAGCCCGGGGCTGCAGACGCCGTCTCCCTGCCGTGTGCTCAGGGGTCGAGCCCCGTGTGTGTCTGCGTCCTGCGGTGCTGTCCTTGGGGACTCAGTCGTATGGGGCAGGTCCACCCGGGTGACCCCACTTCACCTCGTCATCTGTGTAGGGAGCCGCCACCACACATGGTCACATCCTGTGGTGCCAGGAGTCAGGGCTCCTCCGTGCGGGTTTGGGGACACAGTTGAGCCTGGATGGAAGGTGAATGGTCGCTGGGGCAGGGTCCTGACATGTAAGGCTCAGGTGGTGAAGTGGCCGTGGGAGGTGGGGTCCCCAGACCCTACCCCATTGTGTCCCAGCTCCTCACGCCTGTGCCGCACCCCAGTAGGAGCCGGCCACGTCCCCGTGCCCTGTGTCCCCGGGGGGCTTTGCAGCCGCTCCCCATCCCTCACTGGCCTCTTCTCGGAGGGTCCTTGCATCCACCCTGCACAGGGGCGGAGACTTCTCCCCACTGAAGAACGGGGCAGAGTGCACTGAACCTGGGGCGTGAGGGTCACCGCAGCACTACCCACAGGGCCTCAAAGTGAGAACACCCAGTGTCCACTGGCCACGGACGGACGCACAGGAGGTGACGTTCTGACGCACCTTGGGCCGGGTGGTGCCCGAGTCTACTCGGAAAGTGTCCACAAGAGGCACTTTCAGAGACCCAGTGCAGAATGCTCATCTAGGGGGTGGGCTGGAATGTTCTGGGATCGGATGGCGATGACGGTCACACAGGTCTAGTAGGTGCGGGCCGGGCTCACCCCCAGGGGGAGAGATGCCCTGACGTGTGCTCCGGGAAACGGTGTGCTCTCCCTCAGCCGGGTCCTTGAGGGGCCAGGCCGGCCGGGGGCAGCCCAGCGCTCCTGGGAGCCCAAGTCTCAGGGTTTCGGGCCAGCGCCCTGTGGTGTGGCCAACGGTGTCCCAGATGCGCGTCCCCCCAAAACCTGAGAGGCAGCTCGTCTGGGCAAAGGGCTGCTGTAGACGGAACAGTTATATCTCGGGAGAGGAGACCATCCTGGCGTGTCCTGTGGGCCCTGTGCAGCCGCCAGCCCGGGTCTCCCCCAGAGGGCCACCCCGGCCCCAGCGCCACAGCACCCAGCACCAGGGACAGGCTCGTGTGGTTCGGGATGGCCACCCGGCATGGGGACCCGCCTCCCACCTGCCTCTGCACGCACCCTGCCTTCCTACAGGCTGTCCCCTAGATTGCAGTTGGGCCGTGTTCCCCACGTGGGTAGGGACGGGGCCTCCCGCTGCACTGGGGACAGTCCCAGCTCCTCGTGGCGCCTGCAGGTCCTGCCCAG